GAACTGCTCTGGGGCTGTGGGAGCTGCTCTGGAGCTGTGGGAGCTGCTCCAGGACCTGCTGGAACTGTGGGAGCTGCTCTAGGAACTGCTCTGGGGCTGTGGGAGCTGCTCCAGGAACTGCTCTGGAGCTGTGGGAGCTGCTCCAGAACTGCTCTGGGGCTGTGGGAGCTGCTCCAGAACTGCTCTGAGGCTGTGGGAGCCCCTCTGAGGGAGGAAGGGATGCTCCCTGGGGATCCCAGGCCATAAATAATCCCAGCACGAGATCTTTGCTCCTTCCCCACTCGTGTCCCCGATGGAAATTCTGGGAACTCTCAGCACCAGAGTSCTGCCAGCCCAGAGGATCCTCCCAGGGCAAGGAGTTCAAATAACAAAATCTGGGGCTCAGGAAAATGTTTTCTCTTCAGATTTGTATAATTTTTTCTGGATCCAGCACCCAGAAAGGTGAATATGATCCTTCTCTCCAATTGTGGTGCCACCAGGAAGTGTCAGCACTCCTGGATTTTACAAACAGATGGAGCCCAATCCATGGGCTCTCTGTTATAAATTCATTGTTAAAAATCTTTTAACCCATTTTTCTCTGTTTACCTCTTTTCTGCTGCATGTCCTGCGACCCTCCTGAAAAGGATTCCTGCTGAGCTGGAGTCATGGTGCTCTGGTGCAAGGCAGAATCAGAATTTGTCCTGAAAGAAAGCAAAAACCACAACATTTTTATTGTCAGCTTCACTAAATAAAAGAATCTTCCTCTCAGATAAATGCAACAAACTCAGTGAAACCTCAGCATTGTGCATTAAAACCCAAACATCTATATATGGCATAAACCAGGCAGAATTTCCTTGTGAAACAATCAATTTGCAGAACGAATTAGTTCAAGTTTGAAGAGCAATTGTTTCAATAATGGGATTGGGAGGAACACAGGATAAATTGGTTGCCCTTGTTAGAACAGAGTTTTATCTGCTTTGTTCACATTAAACACCATCAAATAATGCCCTTTTTAAGCTGTTTAGCCATACTTTGGTTATTGTGGTGCCTGTAAAACAAACATCCCTGGCTGGGAGGAGGGAAAAGGAACAGTTCAGGATTGCAGGGATGTCGTGGGGATGGGAATTTTCATGGCCAGYTCATCTCATGAGGAATTTTGTGAGGTGGCCACTCTCCCTCCCACTGGAACGTTCCCAGTTTCTGCACCCAAAGAAACTTCCACATCTTCTACACCTCAACAATTTTGTGCCTGGAAACTCCTGGCAAGATTTCCCTTCTAAAAGGTACCACGAAATAAAAGTGCCTCTTGCTGACACCTGAATTTTAAAGCTCATCTAAAACGAGCACGATGGAATCCAAACCAAATTCCTGAGTTTGGAAAGGCCCAGTTCCAACCTGCTGGTTCAGAGAACATCCCAAACAGCCCCAGGAATGTGGCACTCACCTCCTCCAGCTCGTGTCTGAYGGTGGGGACAGGTACACGGTGCCGTAGGGGCAGCTGTCCACGTGAGCAGAGTTAAGGGCAGCAACATTTCCACTCAAGCAGGAAATCTTAGCCAAGAATAATTCCAGTTATCCTCTCAGACCCACTGAACTCACAGCCTCCCTGCGGGGAACTTCAAAAGGACTCAACCCACAATGTTTGAGCAATATTTGAGCAATAAAAAACCTTCCATGGAGCAGCCCTGTCCCTGCATTCCCCYGCCACACGTCCCCTTCAGCCCATCCATCCCCTCTGAGTTCAAACCTGTCAGGAATGATCAGCTAATTCCCATTCCCCAGTGCCAAAGGGATGGATCAACCTGCACTAAAATGCACCAGGAGCTGC